GGGGGGGGGAACGGGGGGGGGCTGAACTGAGGCTCTCTGCTGGTCGCGGCCGGGACGGTCACTTGGCCTCCAGGCCAGGAGGCGGCAGAGGCAGCCGGGAAGTAACGTCCCTTCCTGGCCTGCAGGGCTCCAGGCGCTCTTCTCCACACCAAACCTGGGCAGGATCTCCGCCAAGGCCCTCCGGCTGTCCCACGCGCATCACAAGGTGGCCCTGGAGCTGGGGGAAGACGGGGCCAGCCCCGTGTTCCCTTCGGAGCCGGAGGCCGCTCGGCTGAACTTCCCCATCGTCTACACCCTGGACAGGCCCTTCCTCTTCGTGGTCTATGACGACGACACCGGCAGCCTCCTCTTCATCGGGAAGGTCCTGGACCCCCAGCAGGCCTAGAGTGTCCCCCAGGGGCCCCCAGGCAAAGGGGCGGTTGGGGGTCCTTGATTGTGTCCCGCAGCTGGTTTTGATTCCATGGTCCAATAAAAGAGCTTCTGCCTGAAGGCGCCTCTCCCACCTCAGCCGATGGCAGAGCAGGTGGGGGGGCTTGGAGGGAGGGAGGGAGAGCAGGGGGGGAGAAGGGCGAGGCTGGCAGAGCTCCAGGGCTGGCATCCTGGCAAGGCTGCGTGGGCGGAGGGGCCGCTGGGTCCGGCAGACAGTCTCGGCCCCCGCCCTGCGCTCCTCGGTCCGGGGTGTCTTGCGTTGGCCTCTTAGAGGGCGGGCAGGGGGGGTGTTTCCAAGCCCCTTCCTCACAGCAGGCCCTTTGGGGTGTCCTCTGCGGGGAGGTTCCGGAGCAGCCCCTCCAGGCAGGCCCTCATCTCCCGCAGCTCCTGCAGCTGAGGGCTCTCTGTGCCCAGGTGCACCCACAGAACCGCCTCCGCCCTCTGGGTGGCCCGCAGGGCTTCGGGGGCCAAGCGCCTGGCAGAGGGGAAAAAGGTTAACCGGCCAGCCAAAGCCCCGGAGCTCCCCCCCCCCACACACACACCCAAAGAACCCCCAGGGCAGGAACCAGCAGGCCTCGGCCAGGGCTGCCCCTCCCGGGCGGGGCTGGTTACACACTTTGGGGGGGGGGGACTCTGAAGGGAGGGGGGAGAGTGGGGGGGCTGGGAAGGACGCAATCCTGAGACAGCCGAGGCCCCCTTTGCAAGGTAAACAGACCCATCCATTCCCTCCCTCCTGCCTGCCTGCCACAGTGGGGTGTCCCTGGGAAGAGCAGAGCCGGCCCAGCCCAGCCCTGGAAGGCGGGAGGGGAGGGAGAAACGGCCAGGGCCCCACCGAGTGACTTCTCTTCCCAAATACACACCTGCCCCCATAGCCCCCCCCCCCCGCCAGAGCCCAACCGGGAGGGGGCCCTCCCCAAAGGCTGGGGAGGGGTCAGCGTGCTCACCCGTTGAAGAGGACCTGGGCCAGTTTGAAGAGTTCCTGGCCGGCTTCGATGCTGGCGGGCCCAAAATGGGCCTCCACGGCCTGGATGCTCCTGCGCAGGTGCCCGGCTGCTTCCTGCCACCTGCCTGGGGGCCGAAGGGAGGGATGGAGGGAGGCTCTGAGCCAAGCTGTTGGCCCCCTTCCTAAATTGGCTACCCACAAGCAAGTTAATGGGGCAAGCAGGATTCGCTTAATGACTGCATGAGTGTTAAATGTCCTGCTAACATCCAAAAAAGGGCAAAAAAGGGTCGTAAAATCTGGCGGCCCATTAGGGCAGCCGCCTCGCTTGGCCACCAAAACTCTCGCCCCAACTGTGGTGGCAAGGCAAGGAGGACTCCCGGGGGACTCAGGCAGGGGCGGAGGGGGCCAGCCTCGTACCTGATGCCGCCTGCACCCGGGCCAGGCGGTCCTCGATCTCACCCATCCTCAGGTGCGCTGGAGACAGGAAGCTCTCGGCATCCAGCCGGCATTTCTGCAGCAGCTCCAGGGCCTGACCTGCCATTCAGAAGGGAAGCAGAGCCTGAGGGGCTGCCTTGGCCAGCGGCCACCCCAAGAGGCGGCCAGTGGGAAGGGCTCCCCGCCCAGCCTCCGCAGGGCAGACGGAGGGGCCGAGGGCCAAGTGCCTCGAGTCAAAAGAAAGCCCTTCCCCATCCGTCCTTCAGGCCCTTCTATGACATCAGCCCAGGGTGGGTGTCTCTGTGTGTGCGTCTCTCTCTCTCTCTCTCCTCTTCTGCCCCCCCTCCTGCTGGCAGCCGGCCTTCCCAGGGGGCTGGTGTGGAAGGTGGAAGCTCTCCTGGGCCGGCCCTCTAGAGCTGCGAAGACCCCAGGCAGGGAGGTGGGCGGGCAGGGCACAGGGCTCCTCCCGGGAAGAATCCGATCTGGGGCTGCCTGGAGAGGAGGGGCCACGGAGCACCCCGGGCACCCGCCTGGCAGGGGCCATTCCCAGGGCAAGGCTGCCTCTGCTGGGCCTGGTGGGAAGCCCCACTTGAGCTGTCCGAAGCCGCCCCACAGCCCCGATGGTTTAAGGTGGCCAATCTGTTACCCTGGGAGTCAGGCACTCTGTCCATGCTCTGGAGGCAGCCAACGCAGCAGTCGGTCGATGCTTGTTTGAACTTGACTTGGGACCTCTTCACTATGCCCGTTTCCA